TGGCATGTGGGGATTGTCCACAAGTCATGGAATGTTAGGAATCAAGAAACCCCCAGGGCTACTGACAAGAAAGGAATTGACACGGCTGAGGCCCTGATTTGGACTTTCAGCCTCCAGAACTGTGAAAAAATAAATTTCAGTGAGTTAATAGGATTTAGACAGATTAAGGTAGAGTTTACATAGAGTTTGAGCTTCCCTTTTTCTGGCTATTTTTTGAGTTCTTATTTCATTTTCTAGCTTCACAATAAATGGAGAAAAGATTGAAATTGACAAGGACTTCATATTACTTGGTTCTACAATCAACACTAATGGAAACAGCAGTCAAGACATCAGATGATGTATTCCAAGTGCTGAAGAGCAAAGATGTCTCCTTGAAGACTAAGGTGCGCCTAACCCAAGCCATGGTATTTTCAATCACCTCGTATGCATGTGAGAGCTGGACAATGAATAAGGAAGACCGAAAAAGAGTTGATGCTTTTGAGTTGTGGTGCTGGAGAAGAATGCTAAGAGTACCATGGACTGCTAAAAGGACTAACAAATCTGTCCTGGAAGAAGTGCAGCCAGAATGCTCCTTAGAAACGAGAACAACCAGACTTTGTCTCACCTACTTTGGTCATGTTGTGAGAGGAACAATTCCCTGGAGAAGGATATTATGGTTAGTAAAGTGGAGGGTCAATGAAAAAGCAAAGGCCCTCAACAAGATGGATTGACACGGTGGGTGCAACCATGGGCTCAGGTATAATAAGGATTGTGAGGCTGTCACAGGACTATGCAGTGTTTCGTTCTGCTATGCACAGGGTCACTATGAGTCGGTGATGACTTGACAGCACCTAACAACAACAACAGATTCCCTGGGCTCCCTTTCCTGGTTCATCAGGCCAGAAAGATACTTTCTATGAGTTTTGCCACCCTACAATGTACCGTGATTTTGGTTCGCCCATAGGTCCAAGCCAGCAAAAATGAGAAACTCACTCTGTTTTGGTCACTGGTTTCAAGGTTTTACTCCCCTTTAATATCTGTTCACTTCCAGATCCCTCAGGTAGTTGCTTTTTTGTGTTTTGTCTAGAGTTTAGAGTTGTGTTGTTGTTATTAGAGGAAAGGATAATCTGTTAGAAACTTATTCCTCCATACTGAAGTGGAACTCCCCAAACCAAATAATAAAAAAATGAAAGGTTTGGATATAAATAATTGTAAGATTCATGCATGCCTAATGTTTCCAAGTATCATGTTTTTGGCATACATACTTTAAAAGAAGAAAAGAATAGCTCTCTTCTTGTCCATTCATAACCCACCACTTCACTATCTTAACAGAATTTATTTTCTTATTCTAATTTAGATCCTC